AAAAAAAAAGAAATTTGTTTGGCAAGGCAGTTAGCCCTCAGGGAAAGGCAGTTTCTAGGGCTACAGAAAGCTGCCTGATAGGGATGTGCAGCACTTCCAAAATAATTCAGAAAAGGTGCTTCAGAGCATGTGGGAGCTGTTATGAGATCCTGCTTCTGTCACATGGTCTGAAGCACCTTTAGTTTAGCCTCAGACAACTTCAGGGTTCTTTGGGGCTAACGCTATTTCCTCTGCCCCCACTATTGACTGGGTTTGGGCATTCACATAACCCTACCCCCCCGCATCCCCAAGCCCAAATAAGTGTATCATGTGAACAGGGCCACTGGCTCTCAGGAGTTCTGGCACATTGATTTTGTTGGACCATAATTTGAGAACATAAAAGAATCTACTACCCAGATTGACTATTGATCCTCACTGTTTTGCACAATGCACGTTGTGGCTAGCTGACTCTGCTATTTGGGCTGAAGGCATCTTTCTTTAGCAGCCCACCAGCTGCTAATTGTGATGCAAGTTGGAAGAGTAAGCTCATAAAAGTCTGTGTTGCAAAAATGGCAGTAAGTTGTTTGAAGGAAGAGTTTTCATGCAAGAAACTTGTGGACTGACAGTATCTTCGAAACTATGGAGATCAATGTATATGAATACAGTATTCAACAAAGTAAATTCCATCACCAAGCAATTTATGGATCTGCAGGACAGGTCAGTGTTGCCCATATAGCTAATACGGAAGAGAGGAAACTTTAGGAATATGAGCAAGCCTGCATGTTTGTTTATGTGTGTATTGTCTGTGTAACCTGTGGCATTTTTGATGCTTGCATAATTCCATTATTGATTTCAATCTAACATATTCATGTAGTCTATAAGCATGATAATGTGGGAAGACAACATCAGCCAGTTCTTCTCAACTGTATTACTGGAGTATTACTGGAGCTGGTTATTGTGTCTATCTTCTTGGTTGAAAGATTTTCACTCCATTAGTTTGTTTTAATAAATTAATGAAACTATTGAGTGATTATATTCTAACTTGTAAACAAGAAAAGAAGTTCAGTGCTATCAGTTGTTTAGAGATGTAGCTGTTGGAAGCAATGAGACTGAGAGATAATTAGGTAGTATTGTTCTCTCAGAAGTGTTCATAAAACTGCCTTGGCTGAGCAGAGATCTTCCTTTCCTGTTCTGGAAATCAGCAAATCCATAGAGACAAACACTTATTTCTTTTTTGAATGTGTGATAGCCATGCTCACATGACATGCTGAGTTAAGAAGCTTGGTTAATGGGTTTGCGTGTGCTGTTATCTAGTCCTACCTCTCTGGTCATGTGCTTAACCTGAGACTGTAACAACTGTTGTTTTGCGTTCTGCAAACTGGAACATGCAACCAAGTTTTTTTTGCTTAAGGTGTCATGCAAACATAGCCAATCACTTATTTTATACCACATCCTAAGCCGAAATTGCCTGATCATGATTTACTGAATAAATGACT